GGTGTTGGGTGTGTGTGGTAAGAGTAGAGGCAGGTAAGAGTAGAAATGGAGTGGTGAAGCAGAGGTTGTCACTTGGAGACTTGGTCTTCTGTTAGGGCAACACAGGCTGACTAAGTCTGCTCACCTAAGAGTGCCAAGAGTCTAAGCAGGCAACAAGGAAGTGGAGTAGACCTGATGACTAAGACCTATCTACAGTATAGGTATCTGTGGATGATCCTAAGAGACCAAGTCTGAAGAGACAGTCCCCAGGCAGAGTAGGCCTTATATTTATACCTCTGTGGTGGAACCTGCTAGAACATCTTGCTTACTCAGCCTAGTCAGGTGATCAGGTCATATGACCAAGGATGAGGTCATATGAGGTCATGCACAGCCATGCACAGCAGGTCACCTGACCATCCAATCCTTCCAGCAGGTTCCAGCACATGCCAAGGTATACCAGCTACTTCCATGTCATAAAGGCTTAGTCATGTCTCTTGACCAACCAATGAGCTGGTGCCCTGACACATGCAAGAGATGGTACACCTGCAATAGTAACACCATTGCCAGCATCCTGGGCAGTTTCAAGGACATGATCTGCATGCCAAAAGCAGAGGAGTGCAGCCATCTTGCCAGCAAAGTGGAGTGCCTGATCTGGGCAGATGCATTGCTTCAAATGGTGTATTCAGCATGAGCAGCCATGAAAGTCCAGGCTTCTCAGGACACCTCCATCCACAACATGAACATTCCCAAAGTTTGTTTTGTGAAAAGTGGGCTGTTCCAGGTCTGTACACAGGCTGCATCCACAGGCAAGTCAAGAGATGGAATTACCTATCTTATTGAAGAGCAGATTCCCAGCTATGGGCCTGATGGATTCGTGAAATATATCCATAATGGAAGTGTGACTGCATGAGTAACTGACAGAAGGTTGGGAGAGACAGCCTTGTTTCTTTCTTTCTGCCAACATCTTCAGTACCACCTGACAGGAGGCCTGATATATACCAGTGATTTTCAAGGTGAGGGTTGGTCACCCCAGGGGAACTTTACTCAATGGTGAACAGGTGCACATGATCTGCTCACAGATCCACAAATCATGACCAATCCATAAGCCCAGGTTGCCCCCAGAACTCATGTGGCTTACCATGAGCAGCTCCTTTCTGTTCTGGCTCTTCAGTGAAGGCAATGTTGCACAGGCTTTTGCAGCCTTCAAGTCAGAACATCAATGCACCAAATATTGCAAGGCATATGGACTGCAGGGCCTGACTGAAGATGCTGCCCCTGCAATCCCCCTTCCCAATGACATAGCAGTCCCTGATCTCGATAAGATCAATGAAGCCAAGTAGCTTGTAGCTCAGACTGAACCATATACACAACACATTTCTTAAGGACTGACATATCCTATACAATGGTGACCACCTCCAATGTATTGCCATCAAAAGGTGTTCTTTTGCTCATGTATATACTGCTCCACAGGAAAACTAATAATGAAAATTCATGTAAATGTAAATCCATAGAAGACAGTTAAGCAGGGCTCACCTCAAGCAGTGCCACAGACATGCAAGCCACAGACACTGCTGGCACCCCTGATCATGTGTCAGGGCACCAGCTCATTGGTTGGTCAAGAGACATGACTAAGCCTTTATGACATGGAAGTAGCTGGTATACCTTGGCATGTGCTGGAACCTGCTGGAAGG